CAAAGATCCCGTCAAAAGCTGTCGAAAAACCGAAACCGGTAACTACTTTGCAATTATATTGTACTTCTCTTAATCTGTTTTTGTGATTTTTCTGATTATAAGCTGCGTTTTCAGGCTCACGCCACTCAACCAACTCATACTGGACCTCGAGGCGTACGATAATTTTGTTTTTACTTTCACAGATTTCTTTGGTATTTATAAAGTATGAATGACTAATTATTAATTATTTCAGTGGCAACTTCCGCGCAGACAGATCATTACTGTGAGTTTGAGTTAGCATAGCTTACTGTTAGTAAGGAATAATCAGGGTTTTTTTTCCTCAGGAGAGCGAGTATTTCGAGCGGCGTGTCCTGGAACGCGTGCTGATGGTACGTTTTATTCTTACCTTTCTCCGGGTATGGTCAAAGCAAAGGGCAGTCGTATCAGACTATGCCGCAGGCTCTGTGACAGCGCAGTTCGGGACGTAGCGGTCGGGGAGTTCGCGCCAAGCTGGGTCACACTAGCCCCGTAGACAATTTCTAGCCAAATGTTCTTTGAAGAAAAAAATCACTGAGAAAATTCCCCCAAATTTCGGAAGATTTGGGCAGTAAACGGTAAGTGCCTAGCGCTGTAATGTTTAGTTTTGGCATAGTACGCTAGTACTCAATCTCTTACCATATCACTTGCTGTAAGTCTCCTCGAAGCCTACTAGGGAATGGGGAGAGGACACCGCTCATGGACTGCACCGGTAGAGCCATGGACGGAATAACGAGGTAAATGGGTGCCATATACATTCACTTCGTCCACTAGGCTCAGTCACTGTATCGTCAGAATCCGTCCCACCGATGTGCTGAGAGTTCACACCCAGGGAGCCTTGCAGAACAAATCTTGAACCATAGCGAAGGGCAGCTTGACGAGGGGGAGGGAGCATTCTGCACTTGTGCTACTTCCGCTCGACGTGACGACCCACCTGGGCAGCCCCGTCCCGAGTTGACAGGTTTTACTATGATGGCTTGATGAGCTTGCTCCAGCTTAACAGGACTTCACTACTGCCCGTTTATTTTTTTTTTGGTCAGAAACCACAGGTTTCACCAGAGTGAGACTTGTAAACCGGAACTAGTGAAGCAACGAAAGTGCAAAATGCCCCTCCCCTGTCGTCAAGTTGTGCCGCGAGACCTTGTATGGGGAAACAAGGATGGCTGACTATCCCTTGCATACCGAAGCTTATCAGCTTCCCCTGCGAATGATTCATCGCTGGAACTACGCATCTAAACACCTGCTCTAGAGTTGCGGGCTCCCTGCAGGACTCGTTGACGAAAGCGGACTGACTTTACTCTGAGTCCACGGTCGGAGGTAGCGTGGACGGGTTCGCTCTATTCAGAGAGGGCAGCTCTCAACGCGTTTTCCTCTCCTAGTCTTCCATGAACCCTGTTACCGTGATTGAAGTTGACTTCAAAACGGTTTGCTTCCGTGAGTGTTTTCTTTGCCTACTCCTTCCCCTATCCCTGCATATCCATGAGGTTTCGTCCATCGTACTAGAACATCTGTGTGTCGTGTTCGGGATCCGGGAGTTCTGAAAGGCCTCATGCACGATTTCCACCGTGTTCCTCGAATTCCTACTCAAACCGGTGCAGGTCCACCGCTATAAATAGGACGCTACCTTCAAGCTAGCTCGCAGACAGAATCGTACTTTTAGAATGTTGCGGTGCCACATTTGATCATAAATCTCTGCGGTTTGCATTACTAATTCTTCTTCCGCCTTCTAGGACGAGGAATCCGTATCAACAGAAACGGAGCCACTGTCTGCAAAACAGCCTGTAAAGGCCATAGAACACAGAATGGAGCCGAAGGATCAGAAGGCAGTGGTAAGTGTAGGCGTTTTTCATTCGATTTCGTGAGGTGGGAACCTGCCTTGAGTTCTTGAAAGAATGAGGTACAGTCTTGTTCGCTGCGGATGCTTGGACTTTTCAGGAAAGGGAGTGGGCTGGGTTTTACGCGGTGTCACCCTATTACCCTACTAACTGTGGAAGCGGCATGCGAACGCAATTGCTAGAAAGATGACGCCTCAAGCAGAACCCAGCTTTCCCCCGCCCCTGAAACGCCCCAGCGTCTGAAACGCCCCTGCCTCTTGCAAAACCGTGCAGCCTAGATGTTTTCAACTAGGATTTTCAGCCAGACACCTCAGGGCCAAACTAAGCAAATAGTTGTGCCCCTTCATAGAGGGGGAAGATCGACAGCTCTCATCGATGATAGTGCTGTTTTTCAGGCAAGTGGCCAAGCCGTTCCAACGGTGTCCTCACAGCTGGTATGTTTAATTACCCTTGACGGCTTATCTTGGCAGGAACTGCAGGTTTCTCTATAGGTTTTGACCCAAGCGAGTAAAAATATTAAATACTGGTTAGTGTTAGTCAGCATACTAACACTAATTAATATACCAGATTCGATTATTGGGGCAAACCACCATATACCGGACATGGAGTGGGCGTGGCTGGCACTTTATTTGAACCTGGCAACGACTGCGCTTCGATGGGGATGTTTTCGTTTTGGGACAGTGGCAGTCACGTCGTTGTCCAACAACAGACAAGATTGTAGTCGTTCCGAATGGAAAGGTCCCATGAAATGCGCGTCCTCCGCCACGTTCAAATAAAGTACCCTTCCATATTCGGGATATGAAGTGCATGTCAGCTGTAAATTACGAAATCGTGCTGGTTTGGTTGTGTTTTCATGCTCCAGTGCTTCCGATTGAG